AAAGAAAAAACAACCGAAGGGTCCAATTATAGAGAAATAGTTGCATAATTACAGCACATTCATATAATGGACTGCTCTCTCACAGTTTAATATAATGTTTATGAGGAGTTTGGGGAGAAATAAGAAAAAAGTCTTTCATGTAGTATGAGTCTTAAGGTAGGTTAACACTAGGTTTGTTTAATGCAACTCTTCAACGATATTGTGAAGAAACCCTGTTCTCAGGTGGTGCCCATAGCTCAAAGGAGTAGGGCGCTGGCCCCATATACTGGAGGTTGTGGGTTCAAACCCAGCCCCGGCCAAAAAAATAAAAAAACCCTCTTCTTTCCATCTTCCTGCCTGTTTTTTGTAGCATGTAGGTTTATCTTCACACTTAGGCTCCCCTTAAGGTCTGAAGTTAACTGCCTCAGTTTCAAGTACCACAGTAATTTCCAAAGGCAGAAAGGGGAAATAATAATTCTATCGCATGGATTTTTATTTTTGGAGAAAACCTTTCTGAAGAGTTCCTCAGAAGATATCTGTTAATGAATCCTTATTTAGAACTGCTGCTCAAGCCTTTGTCTAATCCATGTACACATACGTAAAGGGAATGGAATTATAACAATTGGTATTGGCCAATCATAATTTAGTCTGTAGGTCTGGTGAAGGATCTGACCTCACCTAAAACATACAATGCCCAGGGAAGAACTAAATTATGGTTTTGTTGTTAAGAAGAAAGGGGAGATCAGGTGCAGTGGCCTATAATTTAAATAACACTTTGGGAGGCCAAGACAGGAAGATCGCTTGAGCCCAGAAGTTCAAGATCAGTCTGCAGTAATGAAATTCTGGCTGTACAAAAAGTAAAAACAAAAATTAGCCAGGTGTGGGGCACATGCCTATAGTCCTACCTGCTTGGGCAGATGAGGGAGGAGGATTGCTTGAGCCTAGGGCTTAGAGGCTGCAGTGAGCTAGGATGATGCTGTTACTGGACAAAGAGGGTCCAGTCACCTAACACTAAGCAGCGAGGGGGACAGGTCCTCCAAACTGTATTTGGTCAGAAGGCCAGGATTCTGAAGAACAGTGAGAGTAGCCTCTCCAAGACTGTTCTGTTCTTCCAGTTCCAACATTATAGTTGTATACATTTGAGTTCAAAGTGAAGACCATGTTAACCCTTATCTTAAACAGTAATCCACCAAACCCATGACCCATGGCAAACAGTAATCAGTATGACTCATGATGCAAAATAACATTCCAGTTAAAAGCTAATATCCTACATCAATCTACTTAAACTGCTCCTGATAGACATCTACATCTTTAGGGTGGGAGCTAAATTTACGAAACAATAAGAATGGGAGACAGGGTGAAGGTCAGGCAAGACCTACACCGATCACACCAGGTGCGTCCTGCCTGGCCTAGCCCGACTGACTCCTTGTTTACACTGTACGTGTTTCAGTGCTGCTGCAGCCTGGGAGACAGAGCAAGACCCTGTCTCAAAGCAAGAAAGAAAGAAAGATGGAGCATTTCGCCTGCTGTGCTGGCAGCCAGGCATGTCTGCATAGTGGTGCTGCATGTGTGTCTATGAGATAGAGACCCAAGCTCTGTTCACACATGATCCCACCGCATGGCTCCCTCCGGCACTGGTGCCTCTGCGGCTTCTCCCCTGGCTGTGATGTGGTCCCACTCTCTGTTGTTCTAATAGTATTTCCTCTTCACTCTGTTCCAGAGTTCTTATTTTTACTTTTCCATTGTTTGTTCTTCCTTCCCGATTTTCCAGGTTCCCTTCTTTCATGACTTTCTTTCTTGAAATTCTTTTAGCCTTTTTTTTAGGGTAAGTATGAGAGCAACAAATTTTTTGGTTTTCCATTTTCTGACATTGTCTTGATTTCTATTACTGAAGTATCTGTTGGCCAGATAGAGAATTATAAGATGACAGTTCTTTTCTTTCAATGTCGTGCCACTTCCTTTTAGATTTTGGGTGTTTTGCTGAGGAATTTTCTGTGATTCTAATTGTTTTTCCCCTAAAAAGATAAGGTGTTATTTCTCTTCTGTGGCTTGAAAGATTTTTCCTTCATCATTGATTTTCAGTAGTTTGTCTATGTTGTGTCTTGGCTTGAATTTCTCAGAACTTACTTATTTTGAATTCATAACTGTGTAGGACGTATAGGTTTATGTCTGGGAAACTCGGGAATTTTTAGACATTGTTTCTTCGAATACTTTTGCAGCCCCCTCTTCTTTCTCCTCTCCTTTTGGAATTCTGATGACATTTGGATCTTATGGTCCAATATATGGTGCCTGAGACTCTGGAATTTTTTTTGCCCACTACTTTATTTTATTTTTGCTACTCAGATTGAGTAATTTATATTGTTCAATCTTCAAGTCTGATCATCTGACCTATCCTCTCTCTCTTTTTTTTTTTAATTCTGCCATCAAGCTAATCCAGTTTTATTTTCATTATTATATTTTTTAGTTCTAAAGTTTCCTTTTGATTCTTTATGGCTTTGTCCAGATTTCTTGTTTCTTTTGTTCGTTTTAAGTTTGTAAGTGCTCACTGAAGCATGTTTTATTATGACTGATTAAACATTTTCGCCTCATAATTCCAACAGCATTGTCCTCTTGGCGTTGCTGTCTGGTGATTATCTTCTCATTCAAATTGAGATTGTCCTGGTTCTTGATGAGCAATTTTGGATTATATCCTCAACTTTTGCAGTATTGTCTTATGAGACTCTGGATTTAGTTACATTTTCTTTTTAGCAGGGCTTCTCTCACAATAGAGCAGCAGTTCTCAACCTGTGGGTTGGGACCCACAGGAACTGTATTAAAGGGTCACGGCATTAGGAAGGTTGAGAACCACTGCAATAGAATAAAGAAGACCCATCTCACTACTGACAGGTGTGGGTGGAAGCCAGGGTTCCCCACACAGCCTCCATTGACATGCCTGGGTAGTATCTCTTTACCGCTGGCTAGGAATTAGAGAACAGGAATTTTTATTTTCTTGATGTATTTACTGGGAGAAATGCATCTATCTAATTTTGATTTTTAATAGATATCAGATCTCCTTTGCTATGTAAATCAAAGTATAAAAATATAATAGTATACACTGGGGGTGCTATGATGAATGCTGGTGTGAAAAACACTTTTGCTAGTTCTCATTTATAACTGGGTTTGATCACAGCTCTGTCAGAGAGGGAAAACTTTTTCTTCCCCATTTCAGGGTCAGTGTCTAGGAGCATAAGAATTAAACAAAAGACAGATTAACAGGAAAAAAGGCACATCATTTTTAATTAATACTTTTGTGCATAGTCTTCTTCAAGGGAAAATTTATCCTGTGCTTCTAGACAGATAAGGAGGGTGGAGAATTTTTTCTGCATCTGTTGATTCTCCATTACCTTTAGCTCAAAATAATCCTTATGCCAGAGGGGCATATTTTGAGGTAGCAAATTGTGATCCCCTTCAGCAGCAAGGAGCACTTCAGTGTTGGGTCAAATCCTTCTATTATGCCGGTTTTCCATAG